AATAGTTATTGACTTCCAGAAAACTGTTCTGAATGAAAATTACTTCACATAGAAGGGGCTATGGTATGAACGAATGATGATTAAGTAATTTACAAACTATAAGTAAATAGCATTACCCAATTGCATTATTGCTGAAGTGGCAGATGATTAACAATGTAAAATGATAACTGAATGTCCAATACGAAATAGAAGAAAATGAAATGGATAATGACAATTAATATTATGCAAATAACAAATGTTTACAACAGAGGAATTTCAATCTTGTGGGTTTTGTATTCCATAATTGAGTTAGCGATAATTGAATGCTGTGGTAAGAGTTTGAGTGTATCTGCCATCAAGTGACCTGGGAAAAAAGCTTATATTCGCTCTTTCTTAACGACCAAAAACTTCATTGCACAAAGCTGGCTAGAGAAATAAAAAGCATGGTTTGAAAAAGCATGTTGTTATGAGTGCCTGCCAATGAATTTTAATTGAATATCATCTGTGTGCTTACGTTTAACTGTGCCGGTTTTATGTGATCAAGTAGAATTTTACTAGAATTCATAACAACTCAGTACGGATTGTGCATACTCTGATTGATGTTGGAGAAGAGATTGTTAGTGCTATTGCATTAAATGATGTAAAGTCATTGAAGTTTATTGTTGTTAGTTACAATAATTTTGATATATGATCTCTGTTTTCTGATGCCACTTTGATAGTTACTTGAAAGTCTTTTGAAGTTGCTCTTTTGTTTCGTTTCTTTACTGTTTTCTGCTTACTTAATTCACTGCTCAAATTTTGTAGATTTTCCCAAATATAATAGGAGCATTTTCTTGCTTCAGTTACATATTTGAATGTCTAATATTATTTGTATATCTACATTTCTGGCATTATGTAGCAAACTTCTATTTTCTGGTGTTTAATTTGTTGTAACCCCAATTTAAAACTCTTTTCTTGTGGAAAACAGAACCTACTGGATTTCTTGAAAGCTGAACCATATTTTTTTAGAACTAGCTCAATACTGTTATTTGTTTCTGTAATTGAAAAGGGGAAAATTCTTGTGTTTTTGGTACCAGGTCTGCACCCAACGCTCTTGGAAACGACCTTATGGTGTGGGTTTGTTGGTAGCTGGCTTGGATGAATCTGGAGCTCATCTCTATTATAACTGCCCAAGTGGAAATTACTTCGAGTACCAGGCTTTTGCCATCGGATCACGTTCGCAAGCTGCAAAGACATACTTGGAACGCAGGTTTGAGAATTTTACAGATGCATCACGGGATGATCTGGTCAAGGATGCTCTTATGGCAATAAGGGAGACCCTGCAAGGAGAAACCCTAGAAAGCTCTGTATGTACGATTGCTGTTGTAGGGGTTGGAGAGCCGTTCCATATTTTGGATCAGGGAAGTGTACAACAAATGATTGATGCCTTCGAGATTGTGGGAGAGCAAGAAGGTCCTGCTGCTGAGCCTGATGCTGCTGCAGGACAGGACGCATCAGCCGAGCCTGAACCTGAGCAGGGTGCTGCTGCTGGAGAAGGCGTGGCCCCAATGGATATTTGAGGATGGAAGAACTAGCGTCCCATCCTTCTAGATGAGGTTTTCTAGCATGTGCTTGGAAATTTGGGTCAGTCACTGTAGACATTATTGTGTTGAATGTTTCCTTCTTTCTTATGCAAGATTATCTTTTACCCATTGGTGCAAAAATGCATGCTAGCTTAAGCTGAAACTTAAAAGTACATTTACATTTATACTCAAGATATTCTCATTGAAGTTGTTGACTTATTTAAGTGCGATTGCCATTTGAATTATGAATGATCAAGAATGTCATTGGTGGTGGCGATTTTCATTAATAAACTTAAGAAGAATTTTGTAGAAGAAGAAAGAAATGGGGTAAGGAAGATTAGAAAGAAATATTCATTAGATTTTTCATCTCAGTGGTACCACTTTCTTCCTTATTTATGCGGTCTCTGATTCTAGAAGCAGACAAAGTTTGTTAGACTTTTAAGAGCTCTCATCTCCTGTAAACATCGACGTTTTCCTGCTGGACGATATCATTAGCTCCTGCTGCTCATTTCATAACATTAGCCCCCTAGATGAAGAACCTTGCCCTCAAGGCTCAATTCAGAGTCGGTTTCTCTCGTGACATCAGTCTCAATCATCTCTACCGAGACCTGGTAATTGATGTTATACCATTACTCGATCCATGCTAAGTAGCCTTCCCACCGACTTGGATGATCCCCTGTCAAGCACTGAAGATACATCTGCAGATCTCGTGCATAATTCTGATTCGGTTGTGATCTCTATTGAACGTTGTATCCCATGCAATTTAATGGATCCTTTGTATCGAAACCTTAGCCACATACCCGTTGTGAAAGCGCCATGGTAAGGCAAAGAAATGCTCATACCACCCCATCAGTATGGGGGGGGGGGGTATTCGATTTCGCCATTTCCTTCCATAACTCACTGACAAATATCCGGTTGTGATCTTTATTGAACGTGGTATCCCATGCAATTTAATGGATCCTTTGTATCGAAACCTTAGCTATATACCCGTTGTAAAAGCGCCAAGTAAGGCAAAGAAATGCTCATACTAGTGAGTTGATTAACGACCACCAATGTAGCCTCCTTTCCATTGGATTTGGGTAACCCGATAAAGGAATCCAAGGAGTTGTCCTCGAATACTTGCTCCGGGATGTGTAGGGGTTGAAGAAGTCTTGTTGATGCAATGCGCTGATACATGACACTCCAACGCAAAATTCCTCGCACCCTGTTGTATTCCTTTCCAGTAAAAAATTGTTGCCAATCTCTGAAAAGTTCTAAATGTCCCTGCATGACCCCCAATGATCGAACTATAGAATTCTTTTAGCATTCGAGATCACTTAACAAGTTCCTCAGGTACCATGATTCATCCTTTGGTCAGAACCAATCCATTATTATCCTTGAAGTTATGATACTCGTTACTATCACGGGTAAATAAGCTTAAGTTTAGCAACAGTGGAATTTTCGCATCCGAAATTTCCTTTTGGTACCCTCTCTCCGCCTCCTTGGATTGTAGGACCTCCTCCTCCCAATGACACTCTTCATCATATCAAGAAATTTTGAAGAAAAAAGAACATTTTGCATAAAAATGTTACGGCAGATTGAAAATCAAGTGGAAACAAATGGAATTAGAGATTTTTGCCCTAATTTCCTCATTAAATAGATGGAAAACGTCATATCTTCCTGACTATTGTAATCCATGTCTCATGAACACGCTAATCATAAAAGCGACACTTACACATCCTGCCGCTGGAAAACAATCATTAAGACAGTCCCCAAGAAATACATCATTAAATTCAATACATATTTTCACACACACGAGTTCCAAATCAATCACTTGATATTATTTCGATTAAGGAAGGAATAGGTGTTGTCCGGTCTGTTTTTGAGATTTTAGTGGCATGGGTGAATATAAAAATTAGGTCTCTAATAACAAATATTAAAAAAAAATAATTAAGTGAAAATTAAAAAAATAATTTAAAGTGCTGTTAATTTTTTAATGACGAATAACAAAAAATAAAAAATGTAACTTTAATTATGACTTTGAAGAAAAACAATAATGTGATGGCCAAAGCGGAAATAAAATAATAAGTGAATAATTAAATAAATAATTTATCCCTTTTAATTATATATAAATTTGTAATTTTAGTCCCTGAGCAAGTGGGGGCCTGGCAATTGCTCCTTTTGCCCATACTCAAGGACAGGCCTAGGTGTTATACTTTCGGAAGAACTCCTTCGTGATATACAATTATTCCTCAACATCTCCTTTATTTATCGAAGTTTTCAGAATTTTATATCCTCCAGCCAATCAAGCTCCCTTAATAAGACTTTTGACGAGCCCATAAAAAAATTTAAAATTAAATCTATTGTCATGCAACCATATTTTACCGTATGAGTCTATATATAATTATCATAACTCTAAGCATAACATCAACATTAATTGTTTATATATAAATTCATATACATGACAGAGAAATAAATCTAGAATTAATTATCTCCTAAACCCGCGTTATTCATCAACCACAATTTGTCCTAACTCTTCACATTTGCATTTCGTTTCCCTGTATTCGTCGATACAATAATCTCTAAATCGTCATCCATCTTTGATATTTGCTTAGTCTTTCTATAGAGTGTTAAAATATAATTGAAGAGAATATTATTATTTTTTAAAATCCTAAGTTTAAACAGTTATATCTATAGAGTGTGTGTGCATTGTCAATAGTTAAAATATACATATAATTAAAATTTCAAATGGAAAGATCACGGGACGACGCTGCCACGGTGGCGGCAGCATGGCGCCGATAGCAAAGTGGAAATAGCGAGTTCTCTAGAACGTTTCAGTACTGCTTGGATCGTTCCACGGCACATCTTATAGAAAGCTGAGTTGGACCTTATTTTTAAATTTTTAAATCCGACACTGTATCCAACGGCATTGGGATTTACATCCTGAACCTATTGATTGGTTTCTTTGTCGCCTAAGGTTGATCCTGAAGTCAAGCAGTTGGAAGAAATCTCATTGCCAACTAGGGGCTCCGATGAATTCAAGGCAGTTCAAGTTTTGGTAATCTACATAACCCCTTTTTCCTCTCGATCTGTGAATTAATTTCTCGTGATTGTTACTACGAATAAATTCTATGGGGGTGTCTGTGAGCATTCTTGATTCTTCCGTTGAAATCTGTGCATTTGTTGACCATGATGATTATCATTGGAATACTAATATAATAACAGTTTTCCTTTTGGGTTACAACAGAGGTATACTGGGAAGGAGACAGCTCCCAGTGGCACGAGTTTAGCGATAGATTAAAGGGTTGCTTGCATCCTTTTCTGGAAAAGAAAAGTTCAAAAGTTATTTTAACACTTGTTTTTCCACATGATATTGGCTTTGTGGATGGTGCAAAAGAAAGGGTAGTTATGAAGCAGCCATCAGGGGAAGCTCTCTGGAACATTTTTCAACTCTTGATAACTCAATATTTGGGGTTTTTAAATTATTTAGCTTGTCAACTATCTGGTGGTTGTATATAAACTGAGTGCAGGGGTAGCTATCCTAGAAGAAATTTGACTTGGGGAGATGATGTCGAAATGACAGATGGAATACTTAATTATTGATCACACGTCTTGGAAAACAACTCCCTACCAACAGTAATCTCCATGAGTTTTTCCCTTTTTGTTTGTTCTTGAATTTGATTAGTTGAGCAAAAGATTATTAAAATTTGAATATTATAGTTATTAATTAATACAAGTTTTATAATAGTATTGTTCCTTAAACATGGCCTGCTAATTGTTGAAGGTTTTTCTGCCTGGCACTTTCCCTTGCCAAGTCTCTCCCTCTCAAAAACCTTAGCATTAAAGCTTTGTGGTAATAGAATCCATATTTCATAGAGAAAGCAAAAATGGGTGATAGAATCTTTGTGGTGATATTCTTCTTCTGGGCAGCTCTCACCATTATCACCCCAACCCTTGTTCTCTTGTCAGAATCCTCCAAACCCTTTTTGGATACCAATGGTAAGAGCTTAAAATCTCACTTCTTTTAGTGTTTTGTCTCTGAATGTTATGTTGAGTCGTTTGCTTTACAATTTGCAGGTCAGACTAGTGAGGGAATTAAAGATAGGAGAATGATTGGATATGGAGTGAAACGATTAAGCAATTCAAGCATATCTTCAATTCAAATGAAGGAAACAGCAGCCACAATTGAGCACAACTGGAGCTGGTTTCAAGAACTTGAAAGCTTAGTCAGCAAAGTATTTCTAAAAGCAATGGGGATGTTAATCAGTACCAGCTAAATTCAATCATAAACTTTCCAGGCAAGCGTACGTTTGCAACCCCACGTTTTCCTAGTACTTGAAGCAAATCCTTTGATTACTAGAACACAAGATCATCAGGTTTATGTATGTCGAATCATTACCGTAAAAAGCTTTGTATACCAGAAACAAAAATTACATACAGTAGGTGAAGGAAAACGTCAGTTGATTGAATGATTTGTCATATATGTCAGAGTTGGATTAATTCAGAGATTTTCAGGATTGGATTGTCTCCTGAATGAGACAAAGATCATTTTTATGAGAGTTGAAACAGAGGATGTTTTACATTGACAGCATCATTTATGGATTGTCCTGGTGTGAATTGTCTAAGCTTAATTCAACAAAAATAATGCTTAATAATTGTTGATAGCCGCCGGCTGCTAGCCATTGTTTTAGATTTTTATTTTCAATAATCTCTTACTTGAAGATTTGATTGGAACAATCATTTCTTCACACCATTCTTTCTACCTTGTACCATCATGTTGCTTACGTCTTTGACAGGCCACAAGAGGATCGACACCAAATAAATTTATCAGCATTGATCGCCTTCGTCATGAAATCTGCTATGTTGTCTTTGGTATGGATCTTCTGCATATCTACCGTCCCTTCTTCCACCTTTTCACGAATGAAATGGTATTGAACTCGTATGTGTTTTGTCCTTGAATGAAATGTTGGATTCCTTGCTAAATGCAAGGTGCTTTGACTGTCACAAAACAGAGAGACATACTCTTGATTATGCCCAAGCTCATCCAATAGCATCTTCAACCAAATTGCTTCTTTACTAGCTTGTATAGTTGCTACATATTCTGCTTATGTTGTGGAGGTAGCCACAACTGACTGCAATTTTAAAACTCAACTTACAGCTCCACCAGCAACTTTGAACATATACCCTGTAGTAGATTTGCTTTTATACAAATCTCATGCATAGTCAGAATCAACATACCCATTGATAAGTAAATTTGATCCTCCGTAGCATAATGCAACATTTGAGGTCCCTTTGATGTATCTCAAAATCCTCTTTACTGTATTCCAATGCTCTTTGCCTGGATTCGCCATGTACCGACTAACCACTCCCACTGCTTGTGCAATGTCTGGTCTTGTGCATATCATAGCGAACATTAAACTTCCCACTGCTGATGCATACGACACTCGAGACATCTTCATCCTCTCTTCTTCACTTCTAGGACTCATACTGGAGGAAAATTTGAAGTTAATAGGAAGAGGGGTAGAAATTGCCTTACAATCTTGCATGTTGAATCGTGACAAGATCTTCTTCAAGTAATTCTTTTGTGAAAACCAAATCTTCCTATTACTTCTGTCTCGGTGAATTTGTATCCATAAAATCTTGTTTGCTGATCCCAAGTCCTTCATTTCAAATTCCCTAGTCAGTTGCGCCTTCAATTCTTCAATATGATCTTTGTTGGGTCCTTCAACCAATATGTCATCCACATACAATATCAATATAACAAAATCGTTATCACCAGACCTCTTGAAATAAGCACAAGGGTCTGCATTAAGTTTGTTGTATCCAAGACACATAATGAAGGAATAAAATCTCTTATACCAACACCTCGGCGCCTACTTTAGACCGTACAGAGATTTGTTCAACTTGCAAACCAAGTTCTTCTTTTCGTCTTCTTCAAAACCTTCAGGCTAGAGCATATAAATCTCTTCTTCAAGATTTCCATGAAGAAAATCTGTTTTAACATCTAGTTGCTCTAGATGTAAGTTCAATGTATCACACATTACCAAAACTACTCGAACTGTTGTTCGTCGAACCACAGGAGAAAAGATTTCATTGAAATCAATACCTTCTTTTTGGGCTTATCATTTGACCAACAGTCTTGCACGATACCTCTCCAATTGATCGTCACCATTTAGCTTGATTTTGAAGACCTATTTGTTACCAATTGGCTTCATTCCTTGTGGTAGTGGCACAATGTCCCATGTATAATTTTTATGAAGGGCTTCAATTTCTTCTTGCATCGCCATCGTCCATAGTGAAGCATCTGAACTGTTTATTGCCTCCTGGTATGTTGATGGCTCACCGTCCTCTGTTAAAAGATAGTATGTAATATTTCCTTCTATAACATAATCTGAGTGCCAATTGGGACGTCTTCTCACACGATCTGATTGACGAGTTGTTAGAGCTTCAGAACTCTCTAGTTATTGTTCATCATGTGCTGGTTCTGCTTCAGAAGAATCTCCTTGTTCAAACTCTTTTCCACATGTATCTGCGTAGTCTCTGGCTTTTCAGTGCTATCATATTCTTCTTTTATTTGTAGTTTATCTTCTACAAAGATAACATCTCTGCTGATGATCACTTTGCGGGCAGTGGGATCCCACAAGCGATACCCCTTTACACAATCGACATACCCCAAGAATTTGTATTTCTTGGATTTTGGATCAAACTTTGAAATTTCTTGGGAGTTGTACATCACGTACACAATATTTCCAACTACATGGAGGTTTGAATAATCAGCTGGTTTATCAGTCCATATCTTCATTGGTGTCTTCAGTTCTATTGCAGTTGATGGAGCTCGATTCACTAAATAACAGGCGGTATTGACTGCTTCTGCCCAGAATGATTTTTTAGGCCTGCATCCCTCAACATTGCCCTTGTTCTTTCTAACAAGGTTTTGTTCATTCGCTCTGCCACTCTATTTTGTTGAGGAGTGTTCGCCACTGTGAACTGTCTTTTGATGTCTTCTTTCCTGCAAAAGTCATCAAATTCTTCACTTGTGTATTCTCCTCCATTATCTGTTCTGAAACACTTGATCTTATTTCCAGAATCAAGTTCTACCCACGCTTTAAAGTTTTTGAAAGTTGAAAACACGTCTGACTTTTTTTAATAGGGTACACCCAACATCTCCTGGAGTAGTCATCAATAAATGAGATAAAGTATTTTTCTCTGCCTAGGGATGCAACTGGTGCTTGCCATACGTCAGAATGAACCAATTCTAGAAAACTTTTTCCTCTAGAATTTGACGTGTTGAATTTCAACCGGTGCTGGTTACTTGTTATGCAGTGCTCACACAAAATAAGTGATACCTTTGTTAAGCCTGTAAATAGCTTTTGCTCCACAAGGACTTTCATTCGTTGTTCTGACATGTGTCCAAGTTTTTGATGCCATAGCATTGTAGAATCTGAACTACATGAGGCAACATAGGCTTTTGCTTCTAGTAAAGTCTCTCCCTTCAGCATGTACAAGTTTGTAGCTATCTTTTCACCTTTCAGCACCACAAGCACTCCATGGAACACCTTCATGATTTCTTTATGTGTTTCAATATTGCTTTTATTATTATCCAACAATCCGTAGGATAATAAAATTTTCTTCAAGCCTTTCACGTGTCGCACATCTCGAACAACTTTAATTGTTCCATCATACATCTTCAATTCGATGGTTCCCATGCCAACGATCTCTAAGGCATATTCATTGCAACTATACACAAATCATCCTGAGACATATTCATAATGATGGAACCATTATCTTCTTGAGGTCATGTGATATGTTGCTTCCGAATCAACGAGCCATATATCTGCATATCTCTTTCTACCTTCTACGGTGGTTGACGCTTCATAACATAGAGCATCTCCATAATCTGAAGTGTTTGCGGTATTGCCTTATGGATTAGAGTTTTTATTTAGACTCCAACAATCATTCTTCAAGTGACCATTCTTTCCATAGTTGTAGCACTTTAAATTCTTCATGCTTCTCGACTTCGATCTACCATGTTTGTGACTGCTGCTTTGGCCACGTTCTGTTGATCTCCCTCTCATCGTTGTCAACATTTCTGCTTGTTGTAGATTTACTTGTCTGTCTTCCTTGTTCTTGCACCGATTTTCTTCTTGTAGAACAGCAGCTGCAACGTCATCGAAGACTAGACTGGTGACATTACTGTTTTTCAAGTTGATGATGAGTTGATCATACGAATCAGATAGACTTTGAAGTAGAAGTTCAGCACGTTCTTGTTCTCCTATTGTACTTATTAAGGATGTAAGTTGAGAAAATAACGTGTTCAGTGTGTTTAAGTGCTCCGTCACTGAAGTAGATTCTGGCATACGGAGAGTGTACAATTTCGTCTTAAGGAAATTTTTATTGTGCAATGATGTGGCCTCGTACAATTTGGTAAGATGATCCCATATCTCCTTCACCGTCTTCTTCTTCTCGATGCTTGACAATACTTCATCTGTTAATGCTAGATGAAAGTTTTCCACAACATTCCCGTCCATTTCGATCCATTTGTTGTCATTTGTGAAATCTACCGATCTTTCACTGATAGCTACTAGACAATCGTCTTTCCTCAGGATGGCATTCATCTTCAATTTCCACAATGAGAAATTTCTCTCATTGAATTTTTCAATATTAAATTTCGTTGCCATAACTTCTATTACGGATAGCTCCCACTATTTCACTATCGTGAATAATTCTCTGGAACCTTCAAAGAATGAGTAATAACTTCTTACTTTCTTATGTTAGAAGATCCACATTTTGGTGGTAACCACAAAGATAATAAGTAGATATTACACACTCAAATCTGACTCTGATACCAATTGTTGCGGAAGACGGCTATCGGATAGAGCAAAATCACAAGTGATAATTTGAGAAAATAAAAATGAAGATAAAGAAGACACAAAATTTACATGGAAAACCCCTAAATAATATAGGGTAAAAACCACGGGCAACGCTAGAAGAATTTCATTATGAGAAAATAGAAATTACAACTTCTCTCGATCTACCAAGGAGAAAACAATGATAATTCTCTCTTGATAAAAAAGAGAAAACAACTCTAAAGAAAACTCTCTAAATTCTCTAGTAGTGGGAGAAAGCTAGAATGTTTTGGGATGATTTTGAAGCTAAATGAGTTAGGATATTTATAGTTGAAGCTTAAGAACTAATCTTGTAAATATCCTAAAATTTAGGGACTAAATGTTGTAATTATCCCTTGTTTAATTCAACAAAAATAATGCTTAATAATTGTTGATAGCCGCCGGTTGATAGCCATTGTTTAGACTTTTATTTTCAACAATGCGTCGATGTAGAATGGAT